ACACACACACACGTACACACACACACACACATGTACACACACACACACACACATGTACACACACACACACACACACACACACATAAACAGGTTTGTAATTATATCTTTGTGAAGACTTTCCATTAATTTCTAAGGAGAAAACTCTAATCCCAACATGACAACCCTAACTCCTACCCAGCCCTAATTATAACCACAAGCAACCAAAGAAAATACAAGGCATTTTTACATTTTTGATTGCATTCACAGATCTTTGCGGGGACCTGAAAAATTATCCCCACAATGTCAAAAAAACTGATTTTTATTACATTGTCGGGAACATTTGGTCCCCACGAGGTAATATATACCTAATCCACACCCACCCACACCCACTCACACACACACACCATTCACACATGCAAACTATCAGCAATTTGGTAACTCCAATTGATCTCAGCATTTTTTTGGACTGTGGGGGAAACCCAGAGGATACCCCAGGATGACACAGGGAGAACATGCGAACTATAAATCGTATTTTATTTTATTTTATTTTTAACAAAAGAAATTATTGGAAGGATGCAAAATTTGATAGATGTATCACCGGAATGCAGCTCCCATGCAGGATGTGAATCCCCTTTAAGGTCAGGAGGGAGTAAGAGAGCAAAGGTACGCAGACGCCAGGGGGGGGGGGCAGGCCTCCGGGTCCACGGGCTCCTGGTGCCACATGTGATGAAATGCACGTTGTCCTTCATTCAGCCCCCAAAGGAGTCGCTCACCAGCCCTGTACTTCATGCTGATGAGGGGGGTCTGAAAGTGAGGAGCTTTGCCTTCATTTCCACCAGACACCAATACTAGTCTGTGAATCGTCTGGACTCAGTGAAATCCCTGCCAAGTGCTTTATGATGAATACATATGAATACTGATTTTGCTGAGTTAGTGCTAACAGAATTAAAAAAATTGTGGAAATACAGTGAATAAATGTTGCTGAAGTGAGAGGCAGGGGTGGCGTGGTGGTGCAGTGATTAGTCCTGCCATTACTGCATGTGTGTGGAGTTTGCATGGTCTCCCCATGTCATCGTGGGGTTTCCTCCGGGTACTCTGGTTCCCCCCCCCCACAGTTCAAAAACATGCTGAGGTTAATTGGACTTACTAAATTGTCCATAGATGTGTATGTGTGTGTTTGTGTGTGTGTGTGTGTGTGTGTGTGTGTGTGTGTGCCCTGCAATAGGTTGGTGCCCCATCCTGGGTCGTTCCCTGCCTTCATTCCCTGCTGGGATTGGCTGCTTTCCTGAGTAGGATAATTGATTACAGAAAATGGATGGATGCATGATGGGAAATGGATTAGTGGTCTTCCTTCAGCTACCAGGATTTGCAGTCCGGCTCCGTCTCTGTGGGGGCCTGGGTTCACCCTCCCAGATAGACTTTTTTCCAGGCTTCCCAGTAACACTCATTTGGACAGCAGATGGTGTGGAAGTTTCCGGAAGTCAGGTGCAGGGAGAGTCATGTAACTCGCTTGAGACAAGAAAACAACTTAGTCAAGTTGACAACATTAACAAAAATATTGCACTATATTTTTATATACTCCCTGTAACCCATACGGGCATTACATATTGAAGAGGTGCTCTCTGGTCCAGAGGCAGAGTTTGGGCAGTTCTGAACATCAGAGGAGCTTAGTGAAAGCTGGCGAGGCATTTAAATAATTCATGAGACCCC